AAAAAAAGACTTCCTCCTGAATTTCTCAGGAGAAAAAAATCAGTTGAAAATTTATCCCTAAGTAAGATTTGCATTTAGAGACAAAAATTGTAATGTTTTGAAAATAAAATGCATCAAAATTTACATTTTGAGGAATTTTTAGTCACATTTAAAGTGTATTTTCCCTTTTAATTTTTTTTTTCAAAATCTGTTGAAAATTCCTCATCAGAAGCAAGCATGATATAAACCTAAGCTTTACAAAATCGCTCAATAATCGAATTTTATTTAATGGATGTGCAGGTTTGACAGTGGCTGAGACAGAGGCGTCAAAGAGCGCTGCTGAGGCAATGCTACAAGACAAAGAGCGAGAGATGATGAAGAAGAAGCACGCCTTGCACGAAATACGTCGGAAGCGATGGGAGAAACCTTTCAGAGCCATTACATCATTAGAAAAGGAATCTGGCAGCTCTGATGGGTAATATTTATATTTTTATCGCGCAAAATATTTAAGGAAATAGTTCACCTGCCTTCAATTATACTCACAACATGAAATAGTTTTTATGGCACCAGAGAAGATGATGAGTACAGTAGATGGAACAAGTTCATCATTGTGCTAAAGATGAACAGTAAATACAGTGAGACCCTGATATGTGGATACCCAGCTGACATGTGGACAATTTGACTTGGAGACACTTGAAAACCAAAGAAATTAGGCCCAACATCTGGACATTGGCTCAAGTCAGGAACACTTTTCTGTAATTTTTTGAAAAATTGAAACGATTTATTTCTACATTTTTAATATCATTTGAAAAAATCAAGCTATTTAAATTCAGAGAAATAGAAAAAAATGTCATGATAAATTTACTCTAATTCATAATCAAAAGCAAGCTGATTTTGTGCTTCTGTTTTCAGTGTTTTTTTCTATCATCTGCGCATATTCTAGCAAGACTCATTATTTTTCTTTGCTTTTTGATCTCCTTCTGATACCAAAAGATAAGATTCCATGTAGTTTTGTTCTGCACAGTGTTTTTCTACATGCAATAACTAGAAATTGAGGAAAACAATTTTTATTACATTTTTGAGGACTTATTTCTAATTTTTGTCAAAGAGGAGAACCAATTAAATACATTAGTTTTGAAGTCTAAAGGAAAATGAGACTCAGCTTAGAGACATTCTGACATCAGGACACTCTTGATGCACCAATTACAGCCGCATCTCAGGGTTTCACTGTAATGAAATAAGAAAAATATCGCAGACAAATATTAGTTAAATTTCATCTAAAAGCCGACCACTTTCAAATGGGTTTTGAGATTACCCTGAAATCTTCAGTGGAGTCGAGTTTTGGAAGAATCACGTTGATTCAAAATATTGCACAAGATCATTTTTGTTCTTACTCATGCTTCAAAAAAGTGTCGTGTCTTCTGAAGTACAAAATTAATATTAAAAAAACGAATGACAATTAAAAATGACAATTTCCTTGAAAGCGTTGCCGGAATAATAAAAAAATAAATCCGAGGTAGCAAAAATTTGCGTTGTATTCTCGTCACACCCCATAGGTTTTCAGCGGCGATCAAATGCCTGTCGACGTCAACGTCACCGTCGATGTCTTCGTCGACATCGTCAGCACCCTGGTCTTCGTCAGGTGCCAACGTGGCTGGGGAATCATTGCGACGAGTCGTTCGACGCCTGTCGGGCACGGAAGTGATGCTCGAGCCGGAAGCGCCACAGGAAGTGACGTTCGAGCCCGGGAATAAGGACACCGACACTGTCGTATCAGCCGTTGACGCTGTCGATTCGGATCCGGTCGTTTCCGGGATTTATCCGCCTCGTGACGTGCTGTCGACAAGAGGATCTACGACAGCTGAGTCCTGCTGTAGTAGCAGTAGTGAGGAGGAACTCGCACAGCTCGATTAATTGCGGGAAGGATCCCTCTTTTTTTGTTGTTGTCAAAATTGTTTTTATTTCTTGAGAAGAATTTTTTTGGTATCAACGGGGTTAGCTTCCCCCTCTTTCTCTTTTTTTGCACTTGTCTTGTGCTTGAATTTAAATCTTTTAAATTGGCTTGAAATGGAAACCAAAGTTAATTTTCCGACAAGTTTTATTTGCTTCGCTGAATCCGATTTTTCGGAAATCAGCTTTTGCACATTTGGTTCATTTCCAATTTCATCGTGAAATTTCATTCACGTTGAATTTCAAAGAAAAAAATCATCGTCACAATAATATTGCGCTAGAAATTATATAAAATTGGCTTATAAATAAAATTATAATTTCTGCGCTAGATTTATCACGATTCCCATGGGATCATTTTCAGAATCCCCCGGTAATTTTTCGGAAATGAGCAGTTTTTGCTTCTTTGGTCAATTACTTTTTGATCGTTGAAATGTTATTATTGAATATCCAATTCGAAACCAACAGATTCACAAGTATTATCGAGAGATTTTAAAAATCTTCAACACTTGGGAAAATTAAAAGTTTTTTTCTGGGAGTCGACAGCATTTACTTATTTCTTATGCTCTTCTTGAACTTGATATAATCAGAAGTTGATTGATTTTCAGCTTCAATTCGTCAATTTTTTCAATGCACTGGAATATATTGATCAGAGGACTTTTTAGTTTCAGAATTGGTATATTTTTTGTAATCATGTTGACACGATGAATCATTTTCTTATTCCCACTTTTGGTGTACAGATTAACTTCAGAAAAAAATCTTCCGAAAGGATCATGAAATCCTAATTGGGAACAATATCCTTTAGAAATGCAGTACGAAATACCTGCGATTTTTAAACTGCCAAGCCCTTCATGAAAATAGAGCAAGGAGACTTTTTAGCGTCAGAATCGGTCCAATATTGTGCAAATAATTTCCCCCCAGCACATGATAAATCATTTGCGTCTTACTTTTGTTTTATGATTATACTATTGCAGAAAAATCTTTCGAAAGGATCACGACATTTTGATTTGAAACAATGGGTTTTTAAAAAGGAAAGCAGCACAACTGTGCGATTTTTATAATTCCTAACCCTTCAAGAAAATATTTCAGTAATTTTTTTTCACCTGAAAGTCATACGATTTATGAAAATTAACTCAAGACTCGCAATTTGCTGCAGGACCTTTAAGCAATTCAATTCTCAAAGTCTGTGATAAAGTCAACACTTTTCCCCATTTGAATGAAGCAATGGTACGTTAGTCTGGCTTTCACAAACGGCCCTTTCAGATGGGCAATTCTGGCTGTTAGTCGGGGGAACCCGTGGGTACTGAATCCCGACTGCTCTGGGCATATATTTTCGCACAATAGACGGCATTTCTCATTTGCCCGATGTGGAACTGCGTGAGCATACCATCTCCAGGAATGTATGCTTATTTGAAATTGCGTTTTCACAGGCAATGAAGGCCTGAATGGTACTTGAAAGAGAACTTCATATCAAAAAGCATGCAAACCGGATGAGGCTTTATTGTTCTTTTTGAAATAATTTTCTATATTCTCTGTGTGTCTCCGCATTTTTTTTATTTATTTCAAGAGAGAATGTCTCTGAATCCAATCTCGGATATAGTAAAGCTGTGACGAGGTGAAACAGAGTTTCCAGAAAATTTCATACCAATGTTTGAAAGTAAAAAAAAAATTCACAGAGAAGCTTAAATTGTGCACCTTTGAAATTTTCTTCGGCGAATAAGCTGGGAGGGATATTCTTACGTAAAAATATTCGAAGCAATAATAATTTTTAAATTCTTACTTCTTTGAAAGAATTCGACTAAAATAGAGTCAACTAAATGGAATTTTTGAGGCTGAATTTAATCTGCAAACATTTCCCAAGAACGATGCGATAAAAATAGCTAATTAGCTGCAATAGAGCGATAATTTTTTTGAAAACAAATTTATTAACTTCGGGAATAAAGAAGTCCTAAGAATATTCAATATCTTATATATTCTGTATTTTTTGACTATTCTCCCGACTTCACCGAGCTTTTCAAATGTACATATTTTGAAGCTTAAATTCACCTGAAAAAATTCCTGAAAATATAATTTCTGAAATAGCTGAGTTTTGATTGCAAGAAATTGTGTCCAATTTTTTAAACTTTTAATCGTAATTATATTTCCCATTTTCATGGGATAAAAAATGTGAAGAGGAGGCTAGAGATTTTAGATTCACGCATAAAAGCCTTTTAAATTTGAGTGTTCTCATTTTGTGAACGTGAAAAGAAGACCCTCAATGTGGACACCACAACATATGGGCAATTTGTCATAGGGACATTTATTTTTCAATAAAAAGGCATAAAACAGGCCCAACATATGGACACTAACTTGACATTTGAAGACATTGCATGATAACATTACCACTAAATTTCAGGAAAATCAACTTTTATTAGGCTTAATTGCAAGAAAAAGATATTTCCAACACAAAGATATATGCCAGAAAAATTCTTTGGTACTTTTCCCATCACTTTCCCATCCATTCAGCTAATTAAAAATAGTTACGTATAGCACAGAGGGACTTCCTTCTATCTTTGTGACTTGGATGCTATTTTTGAAGATGCCAACATTTCCATGAATTGCAGAGCAGTATAATATGCAATGCTTCAAATGTTCTTATATGGGGTGGAAAATATATTCACTGAATCAAATTCAAGTGGTAAACAAATTTATTTTTCATGGAATTCTGAAGATTATTTCCTCCATAAAACATCAATTAAAAATTATATTAACCCTTGGATGGCAAAGTTGGACTATTTTTTCAAAAAATTGTTGCACCTCAGGGAAGAAAATAAAAAAAGGACGACAGGGATTTGAGGACAAAGTCAGGAAAAATCCCAATGTTTTTTTTTCTTTTTGCACAGAAAAATTTCATGGGAAAATGGAAAAAAAATGCTATGCTAAGCAATGGGCTTTTCTTGATTAATCCCAAGTTTGCCTCAGCCTACCTGGAAGGTCTTTTCTGACCTTCAGAAAACTTGAAATGTCCCCGCATACGAAAATAATCTGATTTTGGCAGGTGATGGGAAAGAACCCTCCACCATCCAAGGGTTAAGTAAGTCTATGGGAAAACAAGACTCAACTTAGGGACACTCTTGATACACCAATTATGTCTGCATGTGGGGGTATCACTGTAAATAAAAAATAAATTGGCCAGATATGAAGAAAGAAAAAAATGCTGCGTGGCTTAGATTGACACTACAGTATATACATATATATACTCCTACAGGTACATACAATTTTTCGGTAACCCTATACATGTTTCCAGTCCTTTTTTTATTCTTCTTTTTCTCATCCACCAAGAAATACGACGAACGAAGTCAGGTCACGACGTTTGCCATTACAGCCCACCCCCTTTTTTTTCCTGCTGCTGGTGTTGCTGGCGGAAAAAGGGAATAAAAGTGAAAAAGATGGAGTCCTAAGATTTTATGGCATCCTTTGAGAAAAACGTCCATTTTCATTACAGGCCCTACGGCAGACGAAACTCGGGCTTTATGGCCGGGAAAGAAATTTCGCTGGACTTTCAATCTTGTTCTGCGTCACACGAGGAACTTCGGCGGAAATTCTGTTTCCGCGCTTCTGAATCACGGGAAATTGATCGTGTAAATCCGCGAGTGTTCCTTTTGCGAGAAGATAAGAGACTGTTTTTGTTTTTTTTCGTTCTTTCTAGAAATTGAGTTTGTGCAATTCAGTATTGGGAGAGAATTGGTTGGCTGGAATTGTAGATTTTTTTTAAAATTTGATAAAGCTATTCAGAATTGTTTCCTGTCACCTCGTTCAAAAGATTGCCTCATTTCATGAATTCAAAATTCTATTTTGGAATACAGTATTCGAGCAATTCGCGAGTATTTCTTTATAGAGGGATTGCATATTAAAAATATTTTTCTCTCTCTGGAAAATGTGTTACAATATAGAGTTAGACGAGAAGCAGTTACATATAGGATTTCCAGTTATTCACTTTTATTCACGAATATTCCTAATTTTTGAGTCCGTTCAGAATCTTGCCGAATTTCACGCATTTTAAAATGCGACAACGATTAGAATACAGTACAGAACTGTATTTGAATTCCTTCAATAATCCTTTTCTTTAAACGCAGATTCACTTTCTCAGACCTATTCTAGCTCATGAATATCATAATTGAAAAGTTTCATCGTCAGCAGAAGAATCGTTAAGATTTGAGGATTTTTTCTTCAATTGAGGATTTAGGTTATCTTTCAATGCTTCTATTTGATTGTTGAATATTTTTTTTGTGACGTTTGGGTTTAAAAAGTGAAAAAAATCCGAAAAAAACTGACTATTGAAGGATGCTTGCACGTAATTATAAAATTTATTTGTATGCACAAACGAGCTGAAAATTGACACATTATTTTAAAGAAATTCCGCCGCTTTACATTGTTTTTATAAACCTTGGAATTTATTCGCCGCCCTTCAATTGAGGCAATAAATTCCAAACTGGGCCATTTTTAATTTCCACACTATTCCGGGGATTTCAGTTTTAATCGCCTACATTTCGAGAAATAATCTGTAAATGTTTTCAGGGAAATCCACAAAAATAAAAACTGGCGTCAAACCAAGACTGACTGATGAGCCCAATCCCAAGAGCAACACATGCTTTTCTTTTCATGCCTCATTTCACAGCTTATTCTTGTACAAAAGGGGATTTGTGATGATGACAGGAAGAAGCAGCACTAAAACCCCTCGTCCACCTCACAACAACTGATGAGGGGTACGACTATATATTATTTTTCTTTCATTTAACTTTTTTGTATTCCAAAAAAAAAAAGTTGGATATACCAGGAAGCTGAAGCACCTCATCAGCCCGCCAAATACCAGATCCCTTTTCTCCTGCATGGTTCATCCCGCCAATATTACAGAAAATGAGTTCTCTCCCGTTCTCTGGAAAGTCATCTTCTCCCTTTCTTTCCAGAGAAAGAAAAAAAAGTAAACCCCCCCAGCAGCGAGGCTCACTCTCCTGGAAAAAAAAGAAAGGGGGCGCTCTTCCCTCATCTTGATGCCCGCACGCATCCATTATCAGACAAGATCTTTTTCCTTCCTTTTTGCATTATTACGTGTGTGGGGGGGTTAGTTTGAAGAGGGGGGCAAAGGAAACCCTAGAGTCCATTGAGTGC